TCAAAATGCCTATTTCTCATTTCGTGACAAAAAATTTGAATTCAGAGAAAATACTGTTGGATCTCAAGAGAAAAATAACAACCGAAAGCAGAGGTTCGGTTCAGAGCACATAACAACGAAAGCAGAAAGTTCGGTTCAGAGCACAGAACAACCGAAACAGAAGTTCGGTTCAGAGCAGTAACACCAAAGGAGGAGTTCGGTTCAGAGAGCAAAAGAGACCAAAATTCTAGGTTCGGTCCCACTGATAATCAAAACCGAAAGAGTCACCTAGAATATCAAGTCAAGAATCATCTCAGTCTAAATTCTCTCTTCTAACTCTTCTAATTCTTCCAATCATTCTTCTTCTCAACCCCATTCTAAATCCAATTCTATTCAAACTCAAAAACCTAAATCTCCAACTGACCTGAAAGAAAATCAAAGGTTTCGTCAGTTAAATCAGAGACTAAACCAAAAGTTCTAGATCCCACAAAGATTAAGGTTTACACCATCAAAAAGAAAAATGAAACAACTTTGATAAAAAGAACATTTTTTGTTGACATCTCTTTTTCTGCTCCTGTTCCTGTGAAAGGCTCACGTGGACCCAAGAAAATTTGGGTTCCTAAATCTGTTTAATTTGTGCAGGTTATCAGTGACGAGCAGTTTGACGAAGAATGGTACATTGATAGTGGCTGCTCGCGTCACATGACAGGAAGGAAGGAAGAGCTAAGGGAATTCAGATCTCTTTCAAATGGTGGAAACGTCAAATTTGGGAACAACTCCTTCGGCACCATCAAAGGCTACGGATGATTACAAATGGTGATTTCTCAATCAAGAAAGTTGCATATGTAGAGGGTCTACAACATAATCTCATCAGTGTATCTCAGCTTGTTGGAGGTACTGGTCTCAAGGCCTCGTTCGATGATGAGGGTTCGGAAATTATTGACAAGAAGACGAACAAAGTATTCTCAAATCAGAGCGCAAAGGTGAAATGTTTCCCCTAAATCTCAAACCAATCAAAGGAATCCAACAATCTTCTTTTATCAAAAGCACAATCTGATGAAACTGGTTGTGGCACCAAAGGCTTTGTCATCTCAATTCAAGGACATCAACAAACTTGTCGCCGGAGGTCATGCGTGGTCTTCCATTGCTCAAGTTCAAAAGAACATTTGTGTGCGGCATGTGAAATGGGGAAGCAGAGTCGTCAAATCTGTCCATCAATTTATAAACACAAAAGTTGTTGAACCACTAGAGTTACTTCACATTGACTTGTTGTGGTCCCTTATCAATTGAAAAGTATCGGTGGTAGCAAGTACATTCTTGTTATTGTTGATGACTTTTCACGTTTTACATGGTGTTCTTTCTAAAGCTTTAAATCTGAAGCGACTCATAAACTAAAGATGTTCATCAAGCAGGTGGAAGTGCAACTGAGAAAAGTAGTTCGAAATATCAGAAGCGACAATGGGTTGGAGTTCAAAAATAAAGAATTTGAAGAATTCCTGGAAGAAAAGGGAATCAGTCATAACTTCTCAGCTCCTACACACCTCAACAGAACGGGATTGTCGAAAGATGAAACCGATCCTTATGTGAAGCTGCCCGAACAATGCTAAGTTTTGCTTCCTTACCTTTATACTTTTGGGCTGATGCTATTTCTGCTGCTTGTTTTACACAGAACAGGTCTTATCTTAACAAGCGCTTCACTCTCACTCCTTATGAGATCATCAACAATAGGAAGCCGATCGTGAAGTTTTTCCATGTGTTTGGTTCCAGGTGTTTCATTTTCAATTCCAAAGAACACCGCAACAAGTTTGATGTTAAAGCCGACGAAGGGATATTTCTGGGTTATTTACTTACTTCCAAAGCGTACAGGGTGTTAAACAAGCATTCAAGGAAAATAGAAGAAACCTACTACGTGACTTTTGATGATAGCTATGTTAAAAAGCTAAAGGCTAACACAGACACAGATGAAGAAATCTTTCCTCAAACTGGCCAAGTCACAGCCTCGATCGCTAATCTATTCGAGAAATTCATGGAGCTTTTTGATGAACCAGAGAAGGCCACTCTTTCTGAGGCCAGTGCAGCAGATAACAGGGTAGAACACTTGAAGCAACTTATTGACGATTCCGTAAGAAGAATGAATGAAGAAGAATCAGGTTCACAAGACTCACCCCAACACAATGCATCAGTCGAGGGGGAGTGTCCACGATCAGTCGAGGGGGAGCACGCCGATACTGCAGCACCCGAAGGTACTGTAGCACCCGAAAGTACTGTAGCACCCGAAAGCTCCTCAACACCAAAAGGCACAACAGCTCCTGAAGGTAATGCATCACCCGAAGGTACTGTGGCATCTGATCACTCCACAACATCTGAAGGCACAGGAGCACCCAAACTCTTCAATATACCCGAAAGTCCGACTGTTTCAGAAAGCTATTCACTCGAGGGGGAGAATGCTAATATGCTCTTTGACGATGAAAGTCAATCCGAACCAGAAGAGATGGTAAACGCTGAATTGAATCCTTCCTATGATCCAAATTATCCTCCTCCCATCAAATGGACCAGAAATCATCCAGTCTCTCAAGTTGTAGGTGATGTTTCTGAAAAGGTTCTGACCAGATCGCAACTTAAAGAAAAACAAAGTTCCCTATTTTCCAAAGTAGAATTCTGTATGTTTAATTCTTTCGTTTCAAAAGTGGAACCCAAGATAGTTAACACTGCTGTTGATCACTCCGATTGGGTTCAAGCTATGCAAGACGAATTGAATGAATTCGAAAGGAACAAAGTTTGGCGCCTCATTCCAACTCCTCAAAATGCATCAGTTGTAGGTCTCAAATGGGTTTTCAGGAACAAAATGGACAAGGAAGGGAATGTGATTAGAGTCAAAACACGTCTGGTCGTGAAAGGATACTGTCAGGAGGAAGGGATTGACTATGAAGAGACTTTCGCTCCAGTTGCAAGGCTGGAATCTGTTCGCATTTTTCTGGCTTATGCAGCACACAAAAACTTCGAGGTATACCAAATGGATGTCAAATGTGCCTTTCTGAATGGAGAACTCGAAGAAACAGTCTTCGTGGAGCAACCTCCCGGCTTCGTAATGAGAAGTTCCCAAATCACTGCTATATTCTGGACAAGGCGGTTTATGGTCTGAAACAAGCTCCTAGGGCCTGGTATGAAACGCTAACAAAGTTTTTAAAGATGTCTAAATTCAAACAAGGTTCGGTTGACCCAACCTTCTTTCGTAAAAAGGAAGGTAACCACCTTATGATTGTACAAATTTACGTCG